TGTTTTAATCACACATAAGTGATATTATGCCAAGATTTCAATTTTTAATTAGAAGATCTTTTCTAAAAAAATAAAACTTTGATACCATTTCTAATAACTGCAGCACCACTACGAAAAATTACCTTGAATCTTTTTCGTAGTGCGTTCCGCCTTGTGATGAACCACAGATCATGTGACCCGCCATGTAAGGAACTATAGATATTGCGGTCAGCCTGGTGATTAACCATAGATCATGAGGCCCGCCTTGTGATAAACCACAGATCATGCGGCCCGCCTTTTGATGAACCATAGATCATGAGGCCCGCCTTTTGATGAACCATAGATCATGAGGCCCTCCTTGTTATGAACCATAGATCATGCGGCCCGCCTTTTGATGAACCACAGATCACGCGACCCACCTTGTGAAGAACCACAGATCACGCGACCCGCCTTGTAATGAACCACAGATCACGCGACCCGCCTTGTGATGAACCACAGATCACGCAACCCGCCTTTTGAAGAACCACAGAACCATGTGGATGAACCATAGATCATGCAGCCAGCCATGTGATGAACCATAGATCATGCGGTCCGCCTTGTGATGAAACGTAGAGCATGCGGTCCACCTTGTGATGAACCATAGATCACACGACCCGCCTTTTGATGAACCATAGATCACGCGACCCGCCTTATGAAGCATAGATCATGCGGTCCGCCTTGTGATGAACCATAGATCATGCGGCCAGCCATGTGATGAACCATAGATCATGCGGCCCGCCATGTGATAAACCATAGACCATGCGGTCCGCCTTGTGATGAACCATAGATCACGCGACCCGCCTTTTGATGAACCATAGATTACGCGACCCGCCTTGTGATGAACCATAGATCACGCGACCCGCCTTTTGATGAACCATAGATCACGCGACCTGCCTTGTGAAGAAACATAGATCATGCGGCCCGCCTTGTGATGAATCACAGATCATGCGGCCAGCCATGTGATGAACCATAGATCACGCTACCCACCTTGTGAAACACCATAGATCATACGGTCCGCCTTGTGATGAACCATAGATCATGCAGACAGCCATGTGATGAACCATAGATCATACAACCCGCCTTCTGATGAACTATAGATCATGCGGTCCACTGCCTGAAACATGCTGCCTATGCACATTATCATATATGGCATATTATGAAAATTAAAAACATTTGCTCTCTTAATAAATTAAACAGTAAAACTATTAATAAAAGGTAAAATAAAATATTTCAACCAATTTTAAGCTTGCCTAATGAATTCACGCTTCATATTAAGTTGTTCGAAAAGTAATAACTCATTTTACTGGTCTTAATTATGAGTTAACCAACTAAGACATATCAAAAATTGAATGTTAGGAACCTGACTCTAGAATTAGTTTATCCTCTCTTCTATTCGATAGTGCACCGTTTATACTGCATTTCAGAATTTAATTGTGAATAATTGGTGAGATGAAATTTTCGTTCCTCGTGAGCTTTCGGTTAAGAACAAAACACAATGTTCTGCAATCTGCAATTGTCTTTTAACCAAGAATGGCAAGATCTCATTATTATGTCACATTTTAACCGAAAAATAAAGTGGTTAGAACAAAATGAGAAAGCAGGACCAGCACCAAAACCAGTATTTCACGCACAGAAATTTCTTGCTTTCTCTCCCATGGAATATGAAAGGCATTGTTAACTACGAGCACGTGGGCCACGGAAAGACCATCATTATAGAAGTTTATTGTCAGTAACTTGTTCAGTTAAACGAAGCATTATAAAAGGTGTCCGGGCTTGTTAAACAGGAAAAGGTGCTTTTCTCCGTCATGACAATGCAAGGGTAAACTCTGCAAAACAAAGCAAAGATAAAAATAAGATCGTTCGAATGCGAAGTCCTTCCACATCCTTTATACTCACCCAATTTAGAATTTTTTATATTTTCATCTGATTCAATCACCAGAACATTTTTCCGTGGTCGAACATTTAGACCCCAAAATGTTGAAAACAGAATTCCTAACAGTTTCTGTGGGGAAATCCCAGATTTTTTTCAGTAGAGAATCTAACATTTGGGCTCAATTGAAAATAAACATGATTATATTTTTGATAAATAATATTTCAATTTTGGGGCCACCCTGCTTTTCTTAAAAAAAACTCTCTAAATAATACCGTACTTTTTCTAAAGTAAAAGATAAAATCTCAGTAATTACAGTGTATTTGCTTTTATTTTCACAAAAACTAAGCAGTTAACTACACAAATTTATCATACAGCAGCATCATATTTTGTTTTCGTCAAATAAACCACCACTGCTTTACAAAGTCTTGGTATTCTTTCCAAGAGTTTTTGAAAAAATATAGATGGCACACCTTCACAAGCATTCTTCAAGCACTGAAAAAGTTCACTCTCACTCTTTGGGTATTCTCTTCGAACTTTCCAATCAAATTCATCCCATACTAATTCAATGGGATGAGGTGACTAAATCACAATAATCCAATTTTGTTCATTTTTTCTTTCTTTCTTGTTTTTTTTTTTTTTGGACTAGAGGTTTTATTTTGGCATAATTTAGAAGAGTGTTTTGGGTCGTTGTCTTGACAATGTTTTCCAATTATGCATGAACCAGATGGTAAAGCATGTTTTGCAAAATCTAATGATATTGTTCTTTTTTAGTGATTCTCTTGACATGAATCAAATCTCTAGTTCTTTTCGTCATCCCAAAATATCTACATAGGAGTTTATGCTGAAAACAAAATATAATATTCTCATACAAAATATTTATAATTTAGTAAAATGTATTGTGGGCAGATGAATACAAATTTGAAGTTTTTAGTAGTAGGAAAAGCCTTGAGAAAACTGAAAAATAAAATCAAATACACTGTGGTAACAAAAAATTTATCTTTTACTTCAAAAAATACAAAAATATTACATTTTAAGGTGTTTTTAAATAAATACAAGGTGATCCGAATTTTTTGCTTGTAGTGTAGCATGCATTTCTTTTAATATCCTTTCTTGTAAAGCGTAATTATTTTCCGAACATCCTATAATAAATACTTTAATCCTAAATATACATTAATATTTGAATAATTTATCAAATATACCTTGTATTTGTTTCTGTGAAGAAAATCAAGTCTAGCATCTAATACATAAAATGGAGTGCCTTCATTAACGTTAAATAAAGTTGTAATAATTAAAGATGTTTAATTCCTCTCCGTTTTATGGCATTATTCTTTTATGATGCGTCTATTGAAAAACCTATAAAAGAGAAAGTGCTAAAAAATTCTTGGCTCGATCCATTTAGCAAAATCTGAGCAAATGACTGGATGGGCCTAGTCGTAACCAGATTTTTGCGCTCAAGCAATCTTCAGACGACTTGTTTCAAGTCGTTCGTTTGAAGATAGCATGAGCCTGAAGCTCGGGTTACGACTAGGGCCAGACTTTCACAGGAATTAACGGCAACAAGCTTTTTTGTACTATCTAGGTAATGTAGGCGTTGAGCATTTTACTGAGTTGCTAGGTTTTTGCCTTTAGGTTTGTTTTTCATATTTTATATTGTTTAAAGATATTTAGGTTTTTAGCAAGTTGTTAGTTGGTTCTACCAATTGTTTTTGTTTATTTATTTATATATATATATATATATATATATATATATATATATATATATATATATATATATCAGGCAGGTTTGAATTCAGAGGTCCATCTCATGACACAAGGCCATAGAACACAGTTTTTCCTGTAGGATATATATATATATATATATATATATATATATATATATATATGATGTATAGGACCAACCTTTTTTTTAAACATCTTTTTGTTAAATATGACGGAGAAGGAAAATTTTATCAATTTTTTTTATTTGTCTTCCAAACGCTCTTAAATTTTGCCCCATGTTGGATAGATCGATTACAAAAATGTCCTCGATTGTCCCAAGGTGTTTAACCATTTTCAATATCACAATCACGCATCTCATGACACAGTAGGGTCGTAGGACCCACCACATGTACCGCAGTTGTAAAAGTGGTGTTTCTTGGGCATGATAGCCAGACAGGGCCCAACACTCTCCAGGCAGGTTTGAATTCAGAGGTCCCTTCTCCTAGATCCGTTGCTACCCAAGGCCATAGAACACAGTTTTTCCTGCTATTTACCCATAGCTGATATATATATATATATATATATATATATATATATATATATATATGATGTATATTCGGGCAGCAACCTTTCTTTTAAACATCTTTTGTTAAATATGACGGAGAAGGAAAATTTTATCAATTTTTTTTATTTGTCTTCTCCAAACGCTCTTAAATTTTGCCCCATGTTGGGATAGATCGATTACAAAAATTGTCCATGTCCTCGATTGTCCCAAACGCTTCTAGCCCCTTCTTTAACCATTTTCAATGGTGGGGGATGTTTTTTTGGTGTAGATAATTTATCTTCATGCTTTCACTGTATGAGGTGTATTATTTGTGAATTACACTACCAACGTTGATTCCGTGCCGTCGCGTCCTCGGCATGGCTGGAATTCGAGAGGGCGACTTTCTATTTTCAAAAGAATTTCAACACTCCGTTACAAATGTTAAACAAGGTAAGGTTGATGATGGAGGGGGAGCTATTTCATGGATAAGGTTTCGAATAGTTTTTTTTTTTTTTTAACCGACATATTTTTATAACGTTATTTTTGGTTGATAACCGCATTTGTGTACATGTTCCGTTTATTTTAAACAGTATTTTATTTTGTCTACCAGACTGAACATTCAAGAAAACGTATACATCCTGCGACAGGAATCGAACCTGTGTCCTCATTTGCAGGAGAATCCGCCGTTTCATCCGACGTACTTTGAACGTTCGACTAATCAATGAACCATGAACAGACTGAGATAGATAGATAGATAGAGAGATAGATAGATAGATAGATAGATAGATAGATAGATAGATACTGAAGAGACTTCGATAGAGAAATATATTAAGAGAGTGTTAAAGAAAGCTAGGAACAGATTAATCGCTAATAGTGATAGATAGATAGATTGATAGATAGATAGATAGATAGATAGATAGATAGATAGATATGAACAGATTGGGATAGATAGATATGAACAGAATGCGATAGATATGAACAGGCGTAGATAGATAGATAGATAGATAGATAGATAGATAGATAGATAGATAGATAGATAGATAGATAGATATGAAAATTGAAATATATAGATAGATATGAGCAGAATGAGATATGAACAGATTGAAATAGATAGATAGATAGATAGATAGATAGATAGATAGATAGATAGATAGATAGATACTGAAGAGACTGAGATAGAGAATATATTAAGAGAGTGTTAAAGAAAGCTAGGAGCAGATTAATCGCTAATAATGATAGATAGATAGATAGATAGATAGATAGATAGATAGATAGATAGATAGATATGAAAATTGAAATAGATAGATAGATAGATAGATCGATAGATATGAAAATTGAAATAGATATATAGATAGATAGATAGATAGATAGATAGATAGATAGATAGATATGAAAATTGAAATAGATAGATAGATAGATAGATAGATAGATAGATAGATAGATAGATGTGAATAACCGAAATAACTGACAGATTGATGCAAAAAACAAATGCGTAAAAACAAAAAAAACGATTTATCAGCTGTGTATTTGAGCTGTTCATACAGTTTTTTCCTCTCTTATCATTTCCAACCCGCTTCCCTGTAAAGAGGACTGCGATAATTCAGTGTCATAAGTGAGCACTTGACTTTCACAGCTTAACTGCCAAAAATGAAATAATGTACTCTTTATCGCATATGGCCCCACCCAGTTCAGCATCCACTACCACATAATGCCCTGTGCGTACGGCAACCTCGTCTGTAAACACGCATATACACACGCACACTCATGCACATACAAATATTTGCACACACACACACACACACACACACACACACACACATACACACACATACACACAGATATAAAGCGACCTTAATTCAGAGATATGAATACACTAAATTAAAATAATAATTATATTTATTGATATGCTTTTGGACTATATTATATGGAAAATTAAAGCACTTTTTAAATGTCTTTTTAAATGATGTATGTTTTGACGGTAATAATTTAAATAAACTAATATGTTTCTCTTTAAATTATATTTTGTCGTAAACATCATCACCACTGTGTTTAAGGACACTATTCGAAATTAATTTTTATACTTCATTTGGCGATAAAAAAAACAAAATAAAACGATATATTAGGTTGAGTCAAGTCATTTCCGTTTTTAGAAACCAATTGTAATAAGGAATATATCATCTTAATTAAACATTTCTAAAATATATTATGACAGGCGATGAAAAATGAGTTGTATACAACAACATTCAACGTAAAATACAGTGGGTTGACAAGTATAAAACACCATAATCTTTGATCGAAAAGAACCCTCCAGTCGTCAATGGGAAAAATGGTTTTCCTCTACGACAAAGCAAGGCCGCATACAACAAGAACAATACAAGAGGAATTTTTGAAATTCTTTGGTCTTTACTACCCCCACCGCCATCTCGAATCCGCCATATTTATCTGACCGTGCACCAACGTTTTCAATTGCTACAAAACGCTTTCATAGGGAAGATTTTCTGTAATGAGAACCAGATTCAAGTGTTCATCAAAAACTTTTTCGCATCAAAACTCGAGGCGTTAGCTAATAAACAACAACAGAATCATTGTAAAAAAAAAACTGCACTTAATTTTTTGAGGAGTTAATCGATAAATGAAAAAGGAAATTATTTATGGACCAATATAATAAGTTATGTTATTAAACATGTCAACTAATTCGTAAAAAATTATACAATTACATATATATGCTATTATATCCAATTACATATATATATATATATATATACAATTACATATTATACAATACATATTATACAATTAAATATTATATAATATTATATATTATACATATATATTATTATATATTATACATAATATTATATATTATACAATTACATATTATACAATTGCATATTATACAATTACATATATATATATATATATATATATATATATATATATATATGACAATATATACGCACCCGAAAAAAACTATTACAACTAATATTACAAAGCTCTTCCCTGAATTGAACACTGTCAGTCAGAGTAAGCATGTAAAAATTCGCCTTTCTTGCGCCTATGACTTAGGGGGGAAATCAGTCAGGTTTCGATCACGGCATGAAGCACTCGGATGACGAGCCACACTGATGAACTGCAAAATAGTCTGTCTGTGAATGACTATACATACATACACACACACACATATATATATATATATATATATATATATATATATATATATATATATATATATATATATATATATATATATATATATATATATAATGATTTGACACCACAGAATAGATATACTGACTTAAAAAGAACTGTAGGCATTTTTTCTTAAGAATTCTTTCGCCCAAAACTTCTTCAGAAGGACTCGTTAGTGTAATTGGGACGAGACACAAGATTATATTCACAAGAACTTCGGAAAAGAAGACTAAAACAAATTATTAGTAAAATTAATTAGCGAATAAAAAATAAATGTTCCAAGTGAGTATAAAAGAAAAAAGTATTACATCATCCAAATAAACCTTAATGAGCTGGTTAACTGATCTTTTTGTCTACATAGGCGCAGTGGGTGTATTTTAATATAAACCGCTTCTAAAATCTTCAAATGATGAGCGGACTGAGCGCTATATAAGATAGTAAAACAATCATCTGTATATTGATGTGAACAGTCAGGATTATTCTGAAGGTGCTGGCCTATTGTTGAATCATATACTGCTTGGGTCGTCCGAGAAAATCGGCTAAAGTCACCCGCTCTTGTACTTGAAAGAACGTGTTGACCGATACGGGTCTCCAGTTACTGACTGGTCCGTACTATATATGCAGCATCACAATGATATTTAAATTTATATATCCCAGAACTATTTTGTAAATAGAGCAGACCATCCTTGACGAAAGATGGAAACCCCTAACGGCTCTAAAAAAATAACATGGTCGAAAAACTTGACGTAATACACGCCGATACCTTATCAGTGAGTACTTGACTATGTCTACCTAGCCAAGGTAATTCTAAATAGAGAAGACACAAAAAGGTACCAAAAGTTACCGGCTCCTTGAAACGCTTGATTTTTCATTGAACAGTGTGTTAGGAAAACCGTTATCAAAAAAAAATACTACGGATTTTCGCTAGTTCCTGATCAAGGGTACATAGGGAACAAATCATCAACACACGATGTACTTTCTGGGGAGAACGAAAATAAGTTTGACAATGCTGTTTTCAATGACTTATCAATAAGGATGATTCTTTGACTCTCTATCTCTCGTTGGCTCCGTCCGGGTTCTGTGAATGTGTAAATGTATCGTATGTAACGCTGTTCCAGTCAATCACCGACCGTTACATTCTTTCATTTCTAGATGATTCGGAAGATCCGAACGTTTCCTTTGAAATCGGCGTGGAATTTTTTGCAGACAATATCCGTGTACGCTACGAAATACATATCAGTTCACTTCGTTTCTCGTTGAAGTCACGTTCATGTTTATTTTTCCTTACCATTCTTTTCACTTTTTTGTATTTTTGTTATGTTTTATATATATATATATATATATAAAAGAAATATGTTGTAGTGGTTCCAACGAGAGAAAAGTATGTATATTAAAAAGAAGAGGGGTGCCGCAAATGTTTTTGGTTGTAATGTGGATTTATTGAGAAAAAATATTATACTTTGTTTTACATAATTTCACGACACATTGTTTCTGGTCTGGTCTCGCAACCGTCTTCAGGTGAAAGTGGAGATTTTTACATATTATTAAAAATAATTAATTTTTCTTCATGTTCAATGTGGAATATTCTCGATATGAGACATTCTGTTTGTGTGTTGGCAATCCGAATTTTTTTCTTTCTAGATATATATATATATATATATATATATATATATATATATATATAAACGTAAAGACAATAGGAAAACTGTAATATTAGTTGATCCGTTTCGTCCAATGTGGACTTTTTCAAGGCAAAACAAAAAAGTCTACATTGGACGAAACGCGTCCGGAACTATTAGTTTTCCTATTTTCTTTTAATTTATAAATATTGTCTTTTTTCTACAGGTTAACTCTGAGAAATATTTCACACACACACACACACACACACACACACATATATATATATATATATATATATATATATATATATATATATATATATATATATTATTTTAGCTTTTTGGGTACAGACGTGTTCTAAAACTTTTAGAACACGTCTTTACTCCAAATATCTTCTTTTTTTTTTTTTCGTGGTTTCAGTCTTCAGTCTCCAACCATATGACTCTCCCCAAGATCGATTTGTGAAGGAGATGACTTCTTGAAAATAATCGGCATGGCTAGACAATCCCTGCGTGTGGAAAATATGGGAAGTGCCTGAAAAGCTTACCACTGTTTGTACCTATCACTGTGGGTCAAATTGGGTATACAAAACCCTTAGGATGGCTGTGCAAGTACGAAGTCAGATAGAAACGGTTGACCCATCTTCTCGCTTGAGATGGTGTCTCGATTAAAAAAAAAAAAAAAAAAACATCTCCGAGCAGCCTGGCCACTTGCGGGTCTGTTTTGACTTGAAAACCTCACGGTGATTGAAATTCTTTAAAAAAAAGAGATGGATTCGCTATCTGCTGCAGGCGGAAATAAAGAAACCTGATGAACATTATTCCTTTCTTCCTTTCTTGCTTTTTTTCTTTTTGTTATTCTGACACTACTCTTTAATTAGCTTTATTTTCTATTTTTTCTTTTCCTTTTCTTCTCCTTTCTTTTCTTTTCTTTCTTTTCTTTCTTTTTTCTTTCTTTCTTTCTTAGCTTTTTGTTGTTGTTGTTGTTGTTCTTCTTCTTCTTCTTCTTCTTCTACTTTGTTGATCTCTTCGCCTTATTTCTCTTTTACTTCTTTTTCCTTTTCTTCTATTCAACTTCTCTCTTCATATTTTTCTCCACACGCCATTTTCTTTTCACTTCTTAAATTATTGTCTTTATTCTGCTAGTTTTCCTTCGTATTTTTTTTTAAAGAAAATGTCTCGTTCTTTTCACATTAAAAATAAAAGCAACGAAATGGCCTTAAGAGTAAACAAAAGACATGCTAGGGTAGGGCGAATGATTAACTTAGAATCAGACAGACAACAAAGGTTCGACAATACGCACCTATTTTAAAATACATACACACATACACGTATTGTAACGCATATACACACACAAAAAACATATCCCAAAAAAGCGATTGGGTTGATAAGATCTGACTGAAGATAAATATATTTTGATATATAAACACACCATTTAGGTACTGAGAATTTTAGAAGCATATGAATGTAATGCTCCAGGAAAAATTATGTGACTTCATTGTTCTAAGTGGCAGGGTCTGAGAATGGTAAGAGTTTCCTCCAGGATATGTCTTGAATCGAAGTATCACACTCGGTTCAACTCAGACATGATTACTAGTGGTTCCTACACCGGTTGACCAGCTCAAGACTTCTGAAGATATCAGAACTAGAATAAGCACTACTTAAGCTGACTTGGGCCACTCGTCAAAAAATAGGATAGGTTGATTCGTTTTCTATGGCTTATCAACCATTTGAAGGTTATTTAAAGCCAAAAAGTATTTTTAGATTTTAAGATTTTGTTTATTTTAGATAATAATGGTTTCGTTATACAAGTCTTACTAATTAAGCCGTAGCTGGGGGAGAAGAGGTGGATTCATACCTTTGCAACGGTATCTGCGCGTAAGTGGATATAACAAACTGGATTTGGAAATCGGCTCTCTAATTAACCTTTTCCAGCCATTATCCATTAACCCGCCCGCACATAGAAACTTACAGCACCTGGTATTCCCAAGTGGTAACCCATCTAGGATCGATGCTGCTTAACTTCGGAATTGGTGTTTCAACCTGATGTGGTCGTAAGCCTCGTAAAAATACGGAAGCCTTTTTGAGGGGGAAATACTTTCTAGACATAAGCATTCTTTACATTGTCAGAATCGAAAAATAATGCTTTTTTATCGATTTTAAAAGGTGGGTGTTGTTTTAATAATATCGACACAGTGTCAAATCGATCCCCGACTTTAAGTTGTCTCTTTTGCTTACGATCAGAAACTTTTTTGTTCATAAGTGTCTAAATTATTATTTTTCGCCCGTAAGTCTAGTGTACCTGATGTCAGGGCTGAAATTGAAATCGGCAAGTTGAGTTCAATTTATTGCCTAGTTTTTGGCATTTACTATCGCTCAAATGTTCTTTGGAAAAGCATGGATCTTTCTTTTCCCCACCCAGCTATAAGGTAGTGTCTTTGAGTGGCAACCAGTGCAGGATAAGGATAACATTGATTTCAAAGTTACTGTGAAAACAAAGAGGAAACTATACCAGTAAATAACAATTTAAAGGTTTAAAAAAATAAAGGAATCTGTGGAGAGCCATGATCGAATGTGTCCTGAAGAGAAATGACATTAAAAGAAATTAATAATTATATTAAAAATGCCTCAGCTTTCTTTTGCTGGGTTGAATGCATAAAATAGATTTTGAAAATGACCAGAATGAAATTGATATTGGTAAGCGGAAATAGGTATGGTGATTTACTAAGCGTAGTTTAGATGTAGCATAAGGCCGAAAGTACGGGGCACCCAGTGAGGATTGAACTCACTACTTAGGCATAATTGTTCTACTGAGACACGCTGGCTAACTATTACACCTCGCTGAGGTGCCGCGGGGGTAGGTATGTATTGATAGTGAAGAACGAGACTGATACAAAACTATAAATTAACCAATAACCTAATCGCTTAGATCAAATCACCTGACCCAATCACGAGGAGGACAGATAGATAAACTCATTCCCTTTCCATAAGTATATCCTCCTTCCTAACCCAATCAATCCAAGTGTGACACTACAGCTGTGAACGGGTGACCCACGTAGAAGAAGATGGTAAATTATTTAATATACCCTGCAGTTGAGTCTGTGAAGTGGGATCTTCAAAGCGGCCACCCAGTTTGCCAATAGGAATAAAATTATAAATAACTGAAGATGTTTGTGGTCACGGGTTACTTGGTCAGAAGTTACAAATATCCGTTCGCAGGCTTATATAAACAGTCACATTTGGGATTGAAGTTGCTTCTAGACTGTCCATTAGTGCGAACAGGGTATCTGCCGACATAGTTCCAATGTGGGCATTAGAGTTGTCAGCCGAGAGTCGTGAAGTAAAGATGAGCATAGAAAGAAAGAAAGAAAGAAAGAAAGAAAGAAAGAAAGTTATTTTGGTTGGTTCGTAGTCTGTCATGGAAGAGGTTGTTCCAAGTGTTCACCTATCTTAGCCACAAGACCGTGCAAGTGAATCCTTGAATCAATAACCGAATAATCGAAAAAAAGGATTCGTTTTCCATTCCTCTGGGAGGCATTAATTTCAGGTTTCGTCCCTCTCGTGAACGTACGGTAGATCTTCCCCTGTATTTTACGCAAACCGGACCTAGCAAATAGAACAGCGGGTTCATACCGGAACTTACAAGATCCATCTTTATAACACTCTCTACGGAACCAAGTGCAAATGGATTGAGCTTCGTCGGACAATCAGCTTAATGAGCCACATAAATATGTTTATTATCCGTATTCTAATGAATAGAACACTTAACAGAATTAGACTGGACATAGGACAAGAAAGGTGTGGTTTTGTTAACGACACTAGAAAAAGAAATGCAACATTTATTAGCAGAGAGGAAAATGCAAATGCAAAATGACTTATAACTATATTTCATAGTCTACGCCAGCGTTTCTCAACATTATACCTTTACGTAACCCTTAAAATACATGTCTCAATGTTATGGGGTCCACCCCTTTTTCATATATGTGGACTCTACCAGTGTTACTTAGACGGCTGCCGTTAAATACCCAGAGTTAGACAGTCAGTGAGGGTAGTCGGATAGTGAGAGGGTAGTCAGAAAGAGAAAGAATATACGAACGGAGATAGTGTGAGGTAACCTCTTGTAGAAGTCAGTTACAAGCACGTAGACTCTAAGGAAGTCCTACTTTGAGACTGTATATATCTATCTGTATATTGCTACTAACCGTGTTCCTGGATTTACTAACAGTATTACCCTTTGTATGATTGTGTAAATACATTTTATTTCTTATATTTAATTATTGCGTTTGTTCTTCATTGGAGACCGAATTCATCTCGGAATCCACAACACTCAAGGAACCCCTGCGCAAAAATAAAATTATATATCTTAATTATATATCATCGTAGTCCACGTAGTAAATATCATAGTATATATTTTTTAATAACTGGTTTAAGGAAAAATTAATACTCCTTTATCAAATTTTTCGGTAATGCTAAATACAATTCAGACTGTTCGTGTATAATACTTCATCAGGGAGTTTTCATTCACACACACACACATGCGCGCGCGCGCGTGTGCACACAAAAATTCTAAACTCAAACGTGAAAAATAGACATAAGTAACCAATAGCATATACCTAGAATATAAATGTAAACAGAACAAAAACAGATAATTGCTGCATCAGTTTTTGTTTTTAATTTTTTTTATCCTTTACTGGCAATGTTGAAAAGACGTAAGGTAAATCAAGGCAAAATGTCCTGTGAACCAATAAATGGGCTAAGAAAATGTTACTTTCAGAGCCATTTGATAAAGTGAAACATGCTTCTCTAATGTGAAGCCTCCGTCTGTTTTTTGTTTGTTACACAAATCCTTAATTTGAGGTCGAACTTTAGATATACACACACGGAGCCTTGGGGACCTTGTGCGGAATCTTAGGGTTCCAGGGAAACCCGGTTGAGAAACGTTGGTCTACGCAAAATCATTTGATAAATAAAGCACAAAGATCTATTTGAACTACTAGGAAAGCTTTACTTATTTGGAAAAGATATTAGAATAAATCATAACAGTTACTGTGAACGGATAAAAAATGAAATGGGCAAGCACGCAGAAATAGAAATAGGCGTAAAACAATGATGTGTCTTCTCAGCGGATTTATTTAATCTACAGTGAAGCAATTTCTATCAGGGTTTATTATTGGTGGACACAATTGCAACAGTATAAGTTAGGCAACACACAGTGTTGATATCAGACAGGAAATGACAACTGTAGAAACTTTCAGACAAGGTAGTAAAGAAAAGCTTGAAGGAAGGACTATCAATTGTAAGCAGACAGAATGTATGGTCGTTAACAAAAGAGACAGCCCAAGATGCAAGCTACAAATTGCGGACGTCAAAATCAATTTGAGATGAGAAATGTTATAAAAAGCGACGAAAAATATGACACCGCAATCCAAAGGTGAACTGGAATAGAGAAATATGCTTTCAAAAAGTTAAAGAAAGTATTAAGTGTTGTGGATTCCGGGATGAAATCCGGTCTCAAATGAATGACAAACGCAGGAATGAAATATAGCAAATAAATGTATTGACGTACAATTGGTAGTAGATCCAGAAATGCGGTTAGTAGCAATAATAATAATATATATACAGTCTGGGGAATTCAGTATCGAAGTATGACTTCCTTCTGAGTCTACGTGCTCGCAACTGTGATTCCTACAAAGCGGTTACCTCACTCTCTCACTGTATCACCGTCTAACTCACTGGGTATTCACCGGCAGTAGTACAAGTACACACTGGGCGAGTCCACTTGTATACAAAGAGGTGGACCCCTTAACATTAAGAAATAGAAAAATTTCATTAGAAACAAAGAAATGCGTGCTGAAATGTTATGTAAGATCAATCTTTCTATATGGCAGTGTAAATGCTGGCCATTTTTCTCCTAGTGGACGAAGGAACTTGAGGTAAGCGAGATGTGATTCTACAGAAGGATACTGAGAATACCATGGACTGAACATGTGAACAGCAAGAAGGTTTTAAAGAAACTGGAAGCAAAAAGAACACTTGTACTTAAAATCAGAAACGTGGGATTTCTCAGACATTTTCTTTCTTTCTCACTCCTTTTCATTATCTATTTTCTTTATTTTTTCTTTTTCTTTCTTTCTTTCATTCTTACACGTCCCTTTTTCATTTACTTCTTTCTTGCTCCTTGTTGTTTTCTCTTTTTCTTTTCCTCCATCTTTCCATTCTCTTTCTTTCTTTCTTTTCATTTTCTTATTAATTTCTCCCACGTTTTTATTTTCTTTCTTTCTTTTTTTCGTTCCTTTCCATATTCTTTTTTCTTTCGCAACTCTCTTATCTACCAAAGAGACTTTGTTATTTATTATACCTTGTATATATATATATATATATATATATATATATATATATATATATATATATATATATACTTTATAACTAGTACAAGTTCACAAATACCGAGTGCCCAATACAGATTCAATTTATTATCGTCGTGATTGTCTATGAGAATGTTTCTAATTTCTTTAGTCAAATTTTAAAACGTGCTGCCAACATTATGAAAAAAAAAACGTTGATAGATAGATAGATAGATAGATAGATAGATAGATAGATAGATATTGGACAATGAATGATCTTTGTCTTTTCCTTGAGTTGATTTTAGGTCAGTTCGAAGAACATAACTTGACTTTGGTTACACTCACGTTTACTGGATGCAATAAAATGTATCACGTTGCTAAATGAATCTGGCTTAAGCGAAGAAAAACTCTCACCGACAATCAGATTATATTACGATATGAAATGTTTCATTTACGTGTAATTTCATACATGTCATGGTGCGTCAATACAACGCAGTAGCAATAAATAAATATATATATATATATATATATATATATATATATATATATATATATATATATATAGATAGATAGATAGATAGATAGATAGACAGACAGACAGAGATGACTGTTGACTTGTTAATCGGCTGTGACTATTTCTAACGCATTACCATATCAGTTAAGACAACTATTGCATTAGCAATTTACACTCTTACACAAAGTTTGCACAAACTCCACATGTGCGTCATGAAAATACATTGATTTTATTAATATTATATGCAAAATAAATTACTGTGTGAAAATTTAAATATGTAAACCAATATTACATATTTTGTAAAATATGTAAACCAATATTACATATTTTGTAATTTTTTATAAATTTTTCAATAAAAAGATTTCTTTTCAAATTTGTTTCTTTATAAAATGGTAAAAAGTTCTTTATAAAACGTAAATAATAAATATTGCGTTGTGTTTGGTGCACATACTTTTCATAATCTTGTAAATAAAATATTGCCTAGGGAAATAAACGTCCTTTCGACACACTGTTTTTTGTTTAAATATTACCCAAAAGCTTTATAAATTGCAGCAGTGATTTCAGACATCTTGTATAACACTTTAGAACCTACTGCAATAATTTAAATACCTTCTTTAAATTTATCGTGTTTTCTTGCTTTTAATTGCAAGAAAAGAAAATACACCACAAGATCATTTGCTTTGATTGTTTATTGGACTGTATTTGAATATTTTTAAAACAATTGCAAGAAAAGAGAATAAATTTAGTCATTAAAAATAAAAAATCACATTTGCATACTTAAAAAAGGATTTAATGTTATTATTTTTATCGTCGATATACCATGATTGATATCAGAAAAAATCTTGTACTTATAAATCTTCCACAAATAAAGTAGGATTTAATAAAAATTAATTTAATTATTAGGTTAAAATATAATTCTATCGCGACTTTCACAGAAAGTGCTCAGATGAGCTACATTCCCTGGTTCTTCTTCTCTCGAACCACTACCCAGTGGAACCGACTCCCAAGAGGGTGTTTCCATGATTACTACAATCTTAACCTGTTCAATTTTAGGGTTAACCTTTATCATCTTCTTCTGTTCGTAGAAACTGCCTTCTAACGTAAGCCTTTGTCTCGAGTGACCCCAGTAAAAAATGTTTCCTTCAAATAATGTGTTTAATTACAGCGGATGTCTGTTAGGAGTCAATTCAGTCCAAAGGTCAAGTAGGTCAGCTTTCCTTAATCAGATATGATGCGAGACCGCTTAAATTGATCTCGAGACAGCAGAATTATGGATGGCCAAACTTGACAAAACTTCTTTTTTTTTTAAGCATTTCACCCCTAGCAAGGCGGGAAGCCACTAGTACGCAAGGGGTTACGGAGGATTTGGAGCGAGAGCAGATAGTAATGATAGAGGAGAAGTAGGAGAAGAATAGTGGATAGATCAAGGCAACTGGAAATGACGATTGACATTACATTTGAATAGTTGGAGATTAAAGCTATCAGGGAAACAGGAGTAGGGAAGGGAGTTCCACAAGCGAGAGGTGCGAGACATGAAGCTATTGATAGTGTGCACAATTTCTTTAATGTTATATCTCTCCAGGCGATCGTGACTCTTCGGAAATTTCTTTTCTTTATTATCAGCGAATTACTATGTATTCTTGGGAAAGATAGGGGAGTAGTTTCCCGACATATTCTCCACGGTTGGAGCTTTCCTTCTCTTATATAGATTTACACCCAAGGCTAGAGAGTCCACTCAACTCTACTAAATATTATTGCGCTATAACTAGAATGTAGTAGGTAAAGATAATGGAAGAGGTAAATAAAGTGTAATGTATATACGCAGGTTTGTCTGATTGATTGAGATCTTTTTTACGGCTTATCAGCCCTTTAAAGGCAGAAAATATTTTTAAACTTTAAGAATTTTTCTTTAAATAATAATGCTTTGGTGATACAAATCTTACTAATTAACCCATAGCTGGGGGAGAAGAGACAGATTCATACCTTTCCCAAGGGTATTTACACGTAACTGAACGTTATGTAGCAGACTGGAATTGAAAGTCGGCTGTTAGATTTCCAATTCCGAACCGTTAACCATTACACCATACATACATCCAAGCTTGCAGCACCCGGAATTACCAAGCTTTCACACATCCAGGTACTGACTAGACTCAACGTTGCTTAACTTCGATGATCTTACAAGAACCGGTGTTTCAACCTGATATGAACTTAAGCCGTACATATGCAGGAGCAACAGCAGCAACAACAGAAGAAAGAAGTGGAGGAGGAAGAGGAGGAACAGGAAGTCGCGGAGTGCCATAATCGCCTACGTCCTGAGGGGAGCAATAGTAGTAGTAGTAGAAGAAGAAGAAGAAGAAGAAGAAGAAGAAGAGGAAGAAGAAGAAGAAGAAGAAGAGGAAGAAGAAGAAGCCGTCTCCTCTCAATGTAGTAAATGTTTAGATCGTGAGCATAACAGAAGTGAATCTTTGTGACTAAAATAAATTCACATATTTGTATTTACGATTGGTTGATTCTCTGCTCTCAGAGATCGTTGAAGTCTTTACGAGTATCACTTTGACAAGGGATATTATTTAGCAATGTCTATCTATCTCCAAGACACATCTGGCTGATCATATTGGATTACATGGTACCAAGTATACTGTACAGAAAGGAGAAATAGGGTATAGACGGAGTACATCGATTCATTTCTAACGAGTAGCACATGGTTTGAGTAGAAGACAAGAATAATTGTAATTTCTAACGAGAAACACAGGGCTCCCAAAAGTAAAAAAAATCTCCTATAGGAATGCTTAAGGCGAGAAAAATGTTTTTTTTTCTAATTTTATCTAGCCAGGATTTTAATCTAGCTTGTTAGCTTCGTAAAAAGTTGGCTGATACCCGATGTCTTTTTTTGCGTGTCTGTCCTTTACTATTCACACTAAATGGCAAAATATACCAGATATTCATATTCTTCTGTGGTGAAATCCGTTTAACTACTAGATACAGCGTTGATATTAATTTTTGAATAATTGCTTCCATGATCAAATAAATTACCTCAGGAATCATATTTCTTCTTTCATGGCATCTCTTGGCTTTCTTGGTGGTACAAATACAATTCCCATGCAACACAATATTGGTTTAAATGGTGCCAAACGCAAGAAAGAATCACTGACCGGCTGACAATACATTACTATGCATGGTCCTTCATAGCATCTCAAAGGCAAGAAATATCTTCATAGTGACCATCTCCTCTTTTAGTAAATTGACACTGGAAACATTAGTGTACTGATATCAGTCGTGTAGTTGCCCCCTATATGGTAAAACAAATCTCAAGGTCAGATTGTGCTGGTAGAAGTACCCGTACATTTGCCTACTACCGCACACATCTCATGTCGCATGTTCAAGTAATTACCCCCTTTTTTCCGTCTTTGTGTCAGCCATCTGAATGTATTATTGTCACTAACAAATACATATCACATGGTCACATTTTTCTTTGCCTGTGTCCGCATATCAACCTGATGTAGTACCCATTTCAAAGTCGTCTGTTATAGTTGGTCATCCAGGAATTGCCAGGTTTTTTCGATCATTTGGCTAGACATCAGAATCTATTCTTGACGCTAATAAAAATATATCCCAAGGTCAGATGTTTCTGTGACTGTGACCGTATATCCTCCTAATACGATACCCAGCTTGAAGTCGCATGTTATTGTTAATCTTCCGGGAATTACCATGTTTATCGATAATTCTTCAGACCTGTTTTTGACGCTACTAATCTTCATGCAATGGACAGGTTGTGTTCTTTGTAACCAACGAATTAAATAGCTATCTTGAACTAGCTACAACACATTCATATATATATATATATATATATATATATATATATATATATATATATATATATATATATATATAGCTCTATCGTAGTTATTCGTATCATCATCATCAGAACTGTTTTGGCTTGAAAGCACATTGAAAATCTGGGGGATTTCTCATCTTCAGGATGACTGCGTTTCTTCGGCAACAACAGAGCCCACTTGTTGTTTATACTGCAGCTATGCCGAGAAGAACTTCAAATATATGTCTCACCAGGCAACCTACAGTTTTGAATGTAGCGGTGTCCTTCTCCTATACTGGTTCCCAATCACGGCGAGCCTGCCCTGCTATTTAACACGTATTTGGAGTATAAGAAATGGATTCATTCCTTTCACGAGAGTATTTGTGTGAAAGTAAGTGTAATGAACCCGACTGGAATTCGAACTCAGTAAGCCGAATTCTTGTTCCAAGCTTCTAACCATTACACAATTATTCGTGTATACTACTGGTTTTTTTTTTGTTTTCATATTTTAAACTTAATGTTAGTGGTGCGTATTATACACGAAAAGTAAATATTAACTTTTTGCCGTTCATGACCGCTGTATTCGAGATTCTATAACCGAAAATTAAGTCAAGTAACCAATGTGCAAAAATTTTGGTTACTAATCAAACAATATTTATTAATAAAAACAAAATCGCATATATACTAAGCACATTTTAGTCTGTTTATGTCAAAGGTCGACATCATAATAATTTCATCTATGTTGTCAGCGTAGTAGATACCATTATCATATTTGATGTTGCCGTTGTTGTTCACAGTGTCCGATAATTTTCTAAGGATTTGTACGGGCAATCCGTATTTACAAAAATTGGCACGTTTATGACACAAAAAAATCAAAATTCTTTTTAAAATGTTGACTGTTACTGAATTGTACTAAGGTTCCCCATTTATGATGAGTAAATATAGTTTTTAATTATAATATCACCTAATCGGTACAAATTAATACAGAAATTTAAAAGATTTAAAACTTTATAAATTATTTTAATTAATTTTTTTTTAAAAAAGTAAAACAATTCTAGTCAAATTCATTATTCATCGAAGAAAGTTTTGTTAGGACAAAACTATTCATAACATATCTTATTCATAAACTAAAAGCTTTTCTAATTAAATAATGTCGTAGTTTTATTGCAATTTTTTATCATTCAAAGCAGATTTTCCGTCACCGATCGACTTGTTTTGCAAAAAATATTCATGATGTACATTCTTCAAGAATGTATATAACCAATATAAACATTAACCGATAAAAATGAATTTCTCGAAATTTCATAAAATTAGATAAGTGTGTGTGTGTGGGGGGGGTTAAGATGGAAGAAAAATGTTTTCACCAATATTTTCTAAAAAGAAATATTTCTAAAATAATTTAATTCATTTGTGAATAACTCCCGAACGTTTCATTAAAATCGAATAAATATTTGATTTTTGCCATAATTTTCAAATGAGAAAAAGAATCTAAAATTTCCTATACTAATCTTTGGTCCTCCGATGACACAAGAAAAACAAAATTTTTAACATAAGTTTCGAGCATCTTGAAAAGGATAAAAAAGTCCTTTAGTTTATTTTCTTAATAACGATAAAACTTTAACGATTTTGACGATAAAACTTTATTTTTATTAAGTTTGGGACATTTTTACAGCATGTCTGCTCACTTTTAGCGAATCTTTGGCGTTACCTAACATAAACTATATAAATTCTTTATTTTAGTCGATCCGAAACGGATAAATATTTGAATAAAAGTTAAATTTAGCTGCTACGAATTCTAAAACTTTAGTGCGTACTATACACGAAATATTTTTGCACAAATTTTGTAGCCAAAATTTAGAGAGCGTATTATATATTAGTGAATATTCCACACGTATAACTACGCCAAAGATAGTTGTTCTATTGAAATTAGTTTGTTATGCTGTATCGATGGTGGCATCACAATGACAAGAGAAGTTAACTCTGCAGTATATATACAAAGGTTACTTGAAATTGGTTGTAGTCAAACGTTACATTTACGACAACCACTTTTAATAGTTGTAGTCATGGTAGTAGTGGCAATCCATTTCATGGGTGCTATTCAGAACGTATATGAAGGCTATTACATCAAGTCTTAAAGAGGCTCTCGTAAGGCCAAATAGAACCACCCTTTTCCTCATCGCCACCCTCCTCACATCATCCAACCACTCGTTCTTTCCTTCCAGACTGTCGCACTTGTCACGCCAATATATTCAACAATCAGTAACAAAAATTTAGTAAAACGTCTGTTGGGAAATTCACTTAAAGATCCACGATTTATTTTCGATTATTTGAGTTGGCGACGAGGCAGCATTTTTATAGCGTTTAATTTTTATGGTCTTATTTTGCTTTATTTGGATTTAGTTGTAAAAACTTATAAATAATTCATGACTTGTGCTCATGAATATGTATGAGAATAATAGCACGAATATTCAGTTTTATAGTGAAAGAATTTTGCGATCACTGTTTGAAAGAAAAGGCGGGAAACAAAGAGAAGAAAGCAAAAATGAAAAGAAAGGGAAAAAATGGGTGATGAGAAGAAGAAACAGCGAAAGAAAGATGGATGAAAAGTGAAGACAGGTACGAAGCAATACAAAAAAAAAAAGAAAAAGATTTTAAAAGTAAGTTATTATGAGAAAAGTAAACGTGAAAATAGAGGGGATTTTCTCCTCTATTTTCACGTTCAGCCGAGAACGTGATCAGCTGAGAAACAAAGAGGGAGGAAGGTGAAAAGAGTGTGAAAATATAGATTGGACGAGAAAGAAAGAAAGAAAGAAAGAAAGAAAGAAAGAAAGAAAGAAAGAAAGAAAGGAAGAACGTTCAAAGAGGGGAAAAGATCGAATGAGAAAGAAAGAGAGGACATGAAAAGAGAGAAAAATATCGGATGAGAATGAAAGAGAGAACGTGAGAAGAGAGTGAAAAGATAGATTGGATGAAATAGAAAGAAAGAAAGAAAGAAAGAAAGAAAGAAAGAAAGAAAGAAACGTGCAGAGAGAGGGGAAGATCGGACGAGAAAGAAAGACAGGACATGAAAAGAGAGAAAACAGATCGGATGTGAATGAAAGAGAGAACGAGAAGAGGAGAAAAGAGCGAATCTAAAAAGCGATTAGGAAAGGAAGATTGTATGAGGAATAAAGGGACAATACGAATGGGATGAAAGAAAGAAAGAAAGAAAGAAAGAAAGAAAGAAAGAAAGAAACAAACAAACAAACAAACAAACAAACCATGAAGATGTTTCTTTTTTTTTCTTTTTTTCTTCTTCATTCTATCAATGGATTGCTTGAAAATGAATGACAACAAAACTAATCGTTCGGATTTTCAAAAGACAATTAAAAACCAAAATCATTTGAATAAGAATTTTGTCTTCAATTGCGTTGCTTCTTCTTTAGACAAGCGAAATTCTTCTCGGGATATGAATTTTATTACTTATTCATTTATTTTTATTGAAT